GGCTCACTAGCCGAGGAGTCGGGTCTATCTTCGGGAGATCGCTCGCCACGACTTCTTCAGGTATTTGCGGGCCAGCCACCATCTCCACGATGCGCTCGCTAGCCCACTCTCGTCGCAGCTCTCCTGACAGCTTCTCAGCTTCCTGCTCGCTAGCCTTGCCGGTCCGGAAAAGCCAGCCTCCAAGATCGCCAGCTATCTCCCTCTCATCTAGCTGCTCTTCTCGGTCCCGAGCCCTAGCCGCCTCTGCATAGATAGCCTGGAGTCGGGCGACCCTTCCGCCATAGGAGCGGATGTAGGTATCCGAGCCCTCGGGCTTCCAGCGTCCTAGCATATCCCTATCCGCCGGCGGGATCGGCTTTAGGCTCAGCCCGGTGGGTAGCACTGCTCTCTCACTGTGTTCCGACCAGTAGCCTCGGGCCACCGTCGGGATCCCCACCATAGCCAGTAGCCCCGCTGTAGCCACCATCGCATCTGCGTAGGTAGCCATCTTCTTCTCCAGGGCGCCTCTCTCGCCCAGCCTGGGCATGAGATAGTCCCGCTGGTAGCCCGCGTGGTTCTTTAGCAGGTTGAAGCCCGCCAGTAGCCAGCCAGGGTCCTCGAAGTAGGCTCTCTCCGAGATGCATACAGGTAGCTCCCGTATGCGTCTGTTAGCCCCGGTGGTTTTCGTCCGTCGCAGGATGGTGGATAGCCGACCTTCCACCATAGCCAGCTCATTTGGGACCATAGCCTGGAGGTCCGACCATCGCAAGCTGCCCCAAGCCTTTAGGAGCTTGGCCCAGGTCCAAGCTCTCCAGCCGACGACCACAGTTGCATCCAGGACCAGGCGCTCCCACCTAGCCAGGATAGCCGCTGGATATCGGGGGGCGCGCCTCGTCCAGGGCGCCTTCCAGGATAGCCTCTCGACGACCGTATCCTTGATCGCCCACGCTATCCTGCCTGAGGTAGCTCTCGACTCGGTCGCCCATTCCGCGACCCTCTCTATCCAGCTGATGGCCTTGAGGATCGCCTCGGGGACCGTTCGCCCGCAGGGCTCGTCGCCCCTAGCCATGATGTAGTCGGCCAGGTCGGCCGGTAGCCCAGGGGGGCGTCCACTCTTAGCCTCCCGTAGCCATAGCCGCCATCTCACGTGTATCGAGACGTAGCGCTTGAGAGTGCTAGCCCGGGTTTTCCCCGCTAGCGCCAGAACTGCTCTATCCGGGTCCAGGCACCCCTGTAGCTTCTTCAGCACCGGCGCCTCGCACAATTCTAGCTCTTCCTTGAGCTTTATAGCCCAGGTTGCTTGTAGCCTCTCTTCCCTAGCCTGCGCCAGGGAGCCCTCGTTGACCAAGCGCTTCTGCCTATCCCCTTTCGGGGGCTCCGGCTCGCTATCCTCCTGAAGGTCGATACCTTCGATCGCCGGCCGCTTGCTGAGGTTAACCCAAGCTAGCGAAGTCGCCCTGTATCCCGACGTTCTCTCCACCAGGTCTCGAGCTTCCTGGGCCTCTTGTATCCACAGGTAGATCGAGTCGCCGATGTACTCGTCGTAGCCAACGCCCAGCTCCTCAGCCACTTGGTGCCCAATATCTTCCGCGTCCTCTAGACCGAGGGTAGCCAGCTCGAGCACACCGAAGCCCCGCGACGCCAGATGCTCATGGCATCTATCCAGCACCGCGCGCTTCTGCACAAGAGCGCTATCCAACAAGGACGGAAGACCGATGGGGCTCCCTATCCCTCCGGAGGGAGTAGCCGGTCCGATGCCCTGCTCTTCCGGCTCAGCCGTGGGCAAGACGGTTGGACTCCCTGGCTCCTCGCCCCCAGGACTAGCCGGAATCACCGTAGTAGCCGGAGACTGTGGGCTAGCCGTCCGCGAAGCAGAAGGGGAGCGCGGGGAGGCCATTCTCGCTTGGCTAAATAGCCAAGTTCCCCTTCTATCCCCCACTACTTCAAAATTACCCCCCCTGATGGGGGACTTATCCAGAATGGCAACGGTCACACACCGTCGTAGCCATTCCAAGTCACAGCTATCCTGTCTTCGCATGTCAGAGGCAACTCTCCTGCGAGCGACGATAGCGAACGAAACTTCGTTTCTAGCGAAGCTACCTTCGATAGCTTCGAGTAGTAATAGGTTAGCTAGCACACATAGTCGTAACTCGTTCCTCGTCACGAGGTACGAGTCCAGCCAACATGATCGAGTATGATCGGCTTCTCGAAGCCACGCTGCACCCAAATACAAGTGCTCAGCACTGCTTGCAGAAGTCGTGCCGCTCCGTCCAGAGATTTTGGCGGGGTGATGGAAATTTTCCGTGGCCATTATTGTTCTTTTCCTATTGGGAGAGCTTGCTCCCATGGTCCGTGCCATAACCATAGCTATAAGAATACTATAGTGCTAGCAGTAGCGGTAGTACTAGCAGTAGTTTTCGTGCCAGTGCGAGTACGCGAGTACCAGCACGTAACAATAATGGAGGCAATACTCGTAACAACGGTATAGTCATACCAATGGCAAGAGAAATAGCAGCACTGATGATACGATGAGTAACAATACCAAATTCTTCAGTTAGCAATGGTTTGTCAGGGTCCGCCCCCAATGTTTTCGCAGACATACGTTCGAGAAACGCTGGGAGACATGGCAGAGTGCAGTTCGGTCACCAGTGTGGTTGAAGAAGAAGCATCACTAAACGTAAGAGTTCTGAGACGTTACGTGCAGGTTTCTGAATTGCTTTCGGTTGAGGATTAATGGGGTTTGGGATTGGGGTCTTGGGCATTAGGGTTTATGGCCCCTTCATGTTCTGTTGTTGCTATGTACCCAGCTAGCTATCCTAGCTACTTCTTCGCTTCGGTCACTTCAGGAGCCGATCTGTTACAGCATCCTCTGAGTGTTATTTGCAGCCTTACTGACAAGACTCGAACCCTAAACCGCAAGCCCATATCGCAAAATTAAACCCCTAAACTAAGACCCTAAGAGCTTTTCCCCTTAACCCGCTTGCCGCTTCGTGAAAGTTGGCACGAGGTCCCCCCACTACCCTTAACCCCAATCTGCTCGTCGTTGGACGAATTCGGCATTCAGTTATACCATTCATGTGAAAGATCGTGTGCATGGCTGACACCAAACCGGGTCCTGGCAACCTGGCGCCTGCGCTATCTGACTGGAAGGTTTTGCATTCTGATGTCATGCCGGCTGCTGGCCCGAATTGCCGCGTAGGTGTCAGGGCTGACGAGCTGCGGCTTCGCATTTGGTAGCTTTCTCGTAGATTGGAGGCGTTTTTGCGTTAGCGGCTTCGTAGGCTCGGTAGCTTCTCGCTTCTTCGCCGACTTATATATCTCGCCTCGCGCGGTCCTTCGGGCTGAAGTTATGATAACTTAAACTTAGACAACGTCAGAAGCTGTGACACTACTTGTGATGCAAGTAATTCACAATCAAACGGGAAAAGTAACAACAAGTTTGCAGCAAACACAGGATATTTGTCATATCACTAGCAACCGTAGCAAGAATCAGAAACGTAGTACTAGTAACAACGAAGGAAGAGTCACAGCCGTAGTTATAGCCCGAACATTCGCTTGACCACACCGGCGGATCTCTGCGCCATGGCTCCAAGCTCGGGAGTTGGCTATAGCAACTGGAGCATTGCTGCACGGTGTTGTGCACCTTGTTCGTTTTGCTGTCAGCGTCTGGTCGACCGTCCCAATGTTAGGGGAAGCGAGCCTTCGTGCTTGTAGCAGCCAGATTCGTCTCGGTTGCACCCAGCAGCAATCCACCGAGCCCCGTCCACATTACAGATCTGAGCAGGAAGGTCACGCAAGGCACTGGGGCCAGGTCCCAACCTGCCAGCACTGAACTTCTCGCCTTTTTTGCGGGGAAATCAGCGATGCAGAGGCAGCACTCAGCAGTAAACTCAGCTCCCATACCCTGCGTGCGAACCGAGTCCGAAGTGCTAGGCCAGACGTGCAAGGTGTCAGCATCGAGCATGCCCATGATACTGTTAACAATAGCGAGTTGCCACCGCCACCTCAACGAGATCCAGTACAACTGCAAGCGTCGGGTTTGTCTAACGTGAGCCGGGAGAATACGCATCGCCCGAGTGCCAGAATTTGCACATCGATAGCGAGAATGCACATCAGTAGCATCACAACATAGCAAAACCAGCCCTTCCCCGTGCCCATGCGCGATATTCGATGGATCCAAAGGATCGTTAACAAATGGAAGTGACCTCATGAATACAGATTTTACCCGAGCGATGCGAAACCTCCCGATAACTACACCGTGGTGCAGCTTGTCCTGGGAGGTGCGACCGATGGGTGAGAAAGTTATTCCTTGCTTCCCGTAGGTCCGATGTCCGCATGCCCGTGAGACCAAAGCCGATTTGATGCTCGGGTGGCCTCTTGAGGACCCCGACTGCGAGCACTGTCGGCAGGTGAAAGAATTCGGACTGTTGACTGTTGAGCCGATGCCAGGGCGCAAGAGATATCCAAAGTCAAGGCGAGCTCGAGGCATTGAAGGGAAGGTTTCGACTCTTGCGATCTTTGACAGGCTGAGGATGCAACAGTTTCGGTATCATGTGTCTGTGACTCCATGTTGCAATAGTGATGCAAGCACGAAAACCAGGAAACACGGATACCGAACTGACACCGAGAAGCGGAACGGAACGCAAAGAGACCATCACTGGGACTGGGAAGCAAGCGATGTCTCCTGCATGGCTGTACATACCGGTTTTGGAGCCAACAATACGGATAGCCTGCAGACAGCCAAAGAGAAGGCATGCGTGCCAAAGGACCCTGTCAACGGGGATTCTGTCTCGGACAGTTTCATCAATTGGAACGGACGATGGATGTCGAAGACCCACATGCTTTGGGGCTGAGACCCACGTTCTTGTCATTGGTTGCCCCTTTCTGACTGCGCTTTGTCGACTACGAACACGCAAAGCATGCTGAGGCAGGCTCCTAGCGAGTACTCTTCACACCCAAACAGTATCTCAGGGGAGCGATACCTCGGAGTTGACTGACACAGACGTGCTTGCTTGGCGATGTCACGATAAGGGACGGGCCATGTCGTCACCACCTATGAGCAAGCACAAGATGGACTTGCAGAGGACTGGCCCGTCCGGCCCTTGCGCAAACCCTGAGGCCTCGTGAGTGTACTTCGGGAGGGGAAGGTTAAAGGCCTGACGCCCATGCGGCACAGGGCTGCTCCATTCAGCATGAATACTTCTGAGTATCTGGCACGTGCCATGCCAAAGTCGGCAATCTTAAGGTGATCCTTGAACAGGCTGACTGCCGAAGACCATGACGGACCGTGTACAGATCTGGAACCCTGGACCCACAGCTACGTGCCTCGCCATCAACCAAGATGTTCTGAGGCCTATGGGCATGGTCCAAAGGTCCAAAGCCAAGTCAACTCCAACTTCGGGCTGAAGCTGGAAATGCTGAGCTCAGCGCTTGAGATCCCGGTGAATAATCCTGGACAGATGTTGTGCGTAGCTCAATCCCCGAGAGGATGTCAAATCTCTGAAGACTTCCAGCGCAGGGAGCCTGCGAGCGTGGCAATAGTCGATGCCGTTCATCAACTGCTTCTGAAGGGACCGCACCTCCCAGGTCTGCCGAGGTCCAGGCATGCCGAAGAGGAGACGGCTTGTAATTAAGGCTTCTAAGCTGATGCAAGCTCGCTCCGAAACTTGACAACAGCTGCATGGCGAGCCACGACTTCTGGCTCCAGCCGCAGCCCAAACTTCTTCATGTACCTTGCGACTCCATGACAACTCCCCGGCTACTAGCTCCCAGCTGTCAAACGACATGCCCATTTCTGGGACGTGCGCTGCTTCAAGTTCGCATCCACGAACTCAAAAACCAGGTGTAGTCGCCCTGGACTACAGGCAACATCCAACCTGGCCAACAGCCAATCAATCCCTTTGGACGACGATAGTGCCGGCAAACTGAGCCGAGCTCAGTTTCACGACGTTCGGATGATCAGCAGCCTGAACATCTCTGCGGTGAGCCAGACACCCTCAACTTGTGCGGATTAGAGCTGCTGTACCTTTAGCACGGCGACTTCGCGAATAGCCGTGCTCGGCATCTTGGCAAGATAGGCAGGAGGTCAGGTTGGGATGAAACTTCCTGCAGAACTACAAGCTCAGAAAGCTGGGCAAGAAACTCCCTCATCTTCGTGCTCCATCTTGACACGCTTTATCGCAACCGTTTTTTGCCTGGCGGGCATTCAGCATTCATCGTAAAGTCCAGTCAAAGTGTGCACCAAATCAAGATAATTCGCAAAACTGTGCCAGGATGTCAAACGGTTGCAGAAGGCACGGTGCACTGCACCATAGGTACCTTCACCCACCGGCTTCTCTTTCTCCTGCCAAGGCCACAGGCGAGAAATCATGCCGGCTCTCCTCGCGCCCTTCACAGCTGCAAGCGCTTACCGCATCAGATGGACAAATGTAGCTGCCGATTCAGCATGCGTGGTGGCCCGTTGTCGTGTCTTCCTTGTCGCACAGATTCGGATGATCGATCTTCCATGGTTTCCATGGTTTCCCGGTGCCACACGGCTTGCCGGATGTCGATTGCTCCTGCATTCTTGTTTTCCACGGTCGTACACGCGCACCGCTTGCAGTGTGCACAGACTTTTTGGTGCTTGGTGTGCGTACCATGCGACTCATCATGTCCGTGTACTTGCAAGGTGCTTGGTCGAGAGCTAGCCTATGGCATGATGAGGATCACACATGCGAGTCACACTTGGACGGAGTTGAGACACCCGAGAGCCCGCAACGGCACGCACAAGGTGTGGTTTCTCCCACTGCGCCTCAATGACATACTGACGATCAAAGCGGCGCTCGTCGTCGATCCTTCGGCTCGAGAGTCTGTGATGTGCTGCACTCTGATGCACTCCTGCTCTCAGCGACCTGGTTGGCGGCCCATGATCCTTGCAGCAGAGCGATTTCAGCTCTCTTCCCTCTGGGAGCGGGTTCAGACTCGCACGGACTGTGCCAGCTCCCGCAAGTCCCTGTGCGCGAAGCAGAAAACACACTGCGTACAGGTTTAGACTCGGCTTGTGAGCTCTTCTTGGAGCTCCGAACGTGTAGCGCCTGAGCAGCAGCTCTCGCACAGGCGGACTTCGGAACTGGCCTCAGGAATCGATCCAAGAACACTTCAGCACCCTAAGCCTTAAGCTTTGTTCGTGAACCCCTCCCGGAAAAGAACTCTTCAGGCGACCCCAAGGTTGCCCAGAGTGCGTGGGCCCAGTAGAGTCCAGCATGTGCAGAGTCGAAGGCATTGGCTGGCCGTGAGCATCACGACCCTTACGGGGCCAACCTATCTTGGCCTTGGGTCTGCATCAGCATGGCCCCCCAATGACTGAACTTGTTCCGGACCAGGTGACCGGGTGGTGCGAAAAAAGTGCGCAACCGTTGAGTCAAAGCATGGAATCGGACCTGAATCTTCTTGAGAATTCCATAGAATTCGGCTCAAACTACGAAACCCCTGCAAAAACTGATGCCCAACCATGTCGCACGGCAGCCCACAAAATTTCAGCTTTCGGAAAGGAATCCTCACATGCTTCACCTGCTCTTTCCATGATAGTTCTTATGCTGCCCTACTTTGTCCAGCGCAGCGTGAGGGAGAGCCACTGAAGGCCTTGCATCAAGGTTGAATCTCGCCGCAGCAAGCACCACAAGAATGAGATATATGGCTGCGGCTCGGCTCCTGCCTTCCCTCAACGGTTCTACATGCGGTCATCGCCGTCCCCAGCGTGGAACGGCTTTTCGTGCGCAGAGGTAGGGCCCACACGCTCCATGCTCGTGCTATGCGTGGCTTGGGGAGACTTCAGTCAGTAACCATTAGCCATCAATCATCGTTGGTAACAGCAATGGTACCAGTATGCGGTAGTCATAGTCTAGTACCGGCGGGCGTAGCACGTCCAAGGAAACCCTTCATGACCAATGAGTGAGTCCAAAAAACAGTCCAAAGGCACGACGGGCCTCCCCTGCAGTGCTACGAGTGGCACAGTTCAGCGAAAATAGCAAAGGCTTATCACAAGTGACTGGAGGATGTTCACTGCTTTCAATGCCTCGTTGAGCAGAACGTAACGGAAACCTCATTTCCCTGAGATGACAAGCTCTGGGGGAGGTACTGCGAGACCAGCCATTCTTCTCAAGCACCTGCAGCTCTCAGGTGTGCAATGAAGCATCTCCGATGCGGGCTGCCAGCTGAAGGTCGCGAACTGAAGATCCACGCTTCTGGGCTTCTTCCCTTCCCTTGTGTTCTGTCCATCCCCTCCAGAGCTCGCCAAAGTAGAAGGTATCCCAGCGCAAAAACAAGCTCTCCGAATGCTCTCTTGTAGCTCGGAGTCGGGTTGCAAAAACAGAAGCTTGACCATCAAGTGAGTATACTGCGGCGCAAATGTCCCTCCTCCAACAGGGAGTGGCAAGTTCCACCACACAAGTATGCGACTGTAGGTGATGTCACCATCTGCCAAGTGTTTCAACTAACAACGAACGTGGTACTCCGCACAATAAGGCCGAAACAGCTTCTGCCGCTCAGGCCGTGAGGCGAAGTTGGAGCGGTACGAACTGACAACTAGGAAGTCTCATCCCCCGGCAAGCTGTCACGGTAAGAAGCACGGGTCAAGCAACCGTGTGGATTACAGGATCTGCCCTCCCAGTTCCACAAGCTCGATGCTGCATGCCCTCTGCACACCATGATGAGGCTGCCTTCTATGTGGTCGAAAGATGTTAAGGGAAAAGCACATGAATCAAACAACTACGACCGAGCATGTTCCAGTATAAGACTGATTTTTCCGGCTGAACCTGGGCTTCCCCTCGAAACTCTTGCGCTCGACAAAGAAAGAGAGAGCGAGAGAGAGAGAGAGAGAGAGAGAGACAGAGAGAAAAAGACATCAAGACAGACAGAGAGAGAGAGAGAGAGAGAGGATAAAGAAGAGCGAACCTATGATGCACTCTTGGATATGCAAGGGGTTCCTACGTTACCAATCGCACGCAGTGTGCATCAGAGGGGCATGTGTCGTGGATCATACCCAACACGCAGAATCAAATGCTTCAACTACACAAGCTTCTAAACTGGCCAGCTTCAAGCCTCCCCGCGTGTGAGGGCAGTCCCCCCGTCCCGCGCAGCTTGCGCTATCCCTGCCCAACATTTTTGGACGGGCTCGGGCTTCACGAAAGGACGAAGGCTTTCTTTCTTTCTGCTGGGCTTCTCTCTCTCTCTCTCTCTCTGTCGCTCTCGCTCGCCCTCCCTGCTTGCAATTTGGGCTGCTGTGGCACTTGCAGGCCAAGCCGAATCTGGAACCGAGTAGTCAGTCAGACAGCAACCACACAAAGAGACGGCAGAGACAGTGTAGGCCCCGAGCCCTGCGAACATCAGGACAGAGCTCAGATGGCCTTGGCATTTCAAGCTGATGAGTTGGGCAAGTTCAGGCATGAAGCCACGGCCTCCGAAGTTTGGCACATAAGATGCTGGTCCTGCAAATCATGAAGTGAATGGGGTGTCCACAATGCGTTTTTTGTCACCGCTCCATTCCGATGAGAGGCCAGGGTGGCTCATCGCCTGCCAAGATTTACTCGGCAAGTTGTGAAAGCAGTCTGACGGAAAGTGAAAGGAGTCTTAATTAGATGCAGAGAATTACGTTGCTATACCTGCGTCACCTTATGTGACGGCCCAATCCAATCGCTGCTGGGATGTGCTGGATTGTGCTGGACTCTGCTGCGTTAAGGGCTAGTGATGGCACATTTGCGTCCCCCGCCTGCTGAACAGCGCTTATGGCGCTTTCCACGCTGTCTGTCCAATGATCCATGGCTCTGAAAAGTTTTCTGTCTCTAAGTCAGCTTTAAGCACAACTGCCGGATCTAGCAAACATCTTCTATCATCTTGTTCAATGTGCCGAATATTGCCGAATGCTTGAGGCAGTCTGGTGCCTGTCGTGTGGCAATGTAAGATAGACCGTTACTCGGCAGACCACATCCATGAAAAACCTTCGCGTCAGAACATCTCTTCGCAGCTACACATGCCGGCAACTTTGCCACCCCACCATGCTTTGGCAGTTGCTGAGCTGGTCCTTTGTGAGCATTCTGCAGACTTCTCATAAACAGAATCGCCTACAAGTGAAACGAAGCTTAGAACTGCGCACACCGCTGAGATCAGGCTGGCTGAGTCGCCCTGGTTTCACTTGGCATCACCAAGCTCAGCGCCTGTTCAGAACAAGGCAGAGGGACGGCAGTGACTACACACTGGCTGAGCAGACAGTCCTCTCGCTTCCAGCTCCACACGGAGAGGTCGGCCAAAGGCTCGAAGGGTACCTCCAAACTCAGCAGATCGCAGCAAGAGAGGGGTATCCCTTCCCACCGTGGGCCGGCCTTGAGCATCCACTCCTGCAAGGCTTCTCCTGACAGCTCTGTGGGAAGCCGCTGTAGCCTCGAGGAAAGTTGCGACATGCCAAGATTGCTCTTCCCGGCTCTGACAACACTTCGCCGAGGAAAGTACAGCACCGGTTCTGCCCGATATCTCAGCATGGCGGCAACACACATACACACACAACACACACACACACGGCCGGACGGAGAGAGGCTGTCTGAAAGGTCAATATGTCTGCAGGCCTGAGATTGTGCATCAGCGATCCGAATCTCAAAGCGCAGTCTGTTTGTACAGCTGCCACCTGGCACCCAGTAAGAGGTTGATCAACCAGCCTCATTGCTTAGCAAAGTCCACTCTGCAAGCTCGGGCCCCGTACCATGACACACAGACCTGGCATGGGCCCGGTACCATCGCCAGCAGGCCGACTTCTAGACTAACTAGACTAACTAGACGTGCTCTATGAGGTGTCTCCATCGAAGGCATTCAGGTCGAGGCAAAAGGCATCTCGTCAGAGCGGAGCATAATGCTCAGACTCAAAACCGCAGAGCAGACTCCACAAGTCCACAACCCACAACACATCCGATGTGAGATTTTAAAGACTGTTAAGAAACCCCTAAGAGTGACGTCAGAGGTCGGGCGTGGCGCACCGTCACCACAGGGCTCTGCACTGAAACGTTGGAAATCCAGGCCGCAGTCACCTCAATCACCAGTTCTCGCGACAACTTCAGAAAACAGAAGACAACAACAAGCGATGCAACTTGCAGATTCCTTCTGGTACATTCTTAAGACGCTCCAAGCCCCCAGCGCACCACAGCCACCACCTCCACCATGAGCCCTGGTTTGTCCTTATCATGTGCGAGTTCTCCGGAAACACAGACATTCGAACGATGAAGTTGCGCTCTGAGCCACCTCTGCAACCAGCATGAAACATTGCTTGTAGGCCTCGTCCCCAGAACTGCTCGCACATGCCCCCGCTCCCTTAATGCAGCAACCATCGTTTTTTGCAGTATTCCTCATTTATCCCACGGGGATTGCACTCTTGCTACCCTTGACTGTACCAAAATTCAAAAGTATAGACTAATCTGGCCAGTTGAAGCCTGACTGATTTCCCGAAATCTTCTGAATGGCGCCTCACCGGGTGAAGACACTACGCCCGCGTTTCCAGTGTACCTGGCCGATTGCCCCTGCTCTATTGCACGCCGCTGCCGGCTGCTTGACACAGTCAGAAACATGAATGCAGAAGCGATCGGCTCGAGGGGCTCCGGGCCCGGCCAGGGGAGGGGAGGAGCTCAGAAACGCGGGTCACTCGTAGCTGGCATCGCCCAGCGGCATGTGCAGCCTCTCAGAAACTTTGATGCTGCCAAGTGCTAGTGGAGGAGATGGCGCCTCGCTGCGAGGAGCTGGCCGCTGATCAACTCGACTGGCAATGCCCCGCGACCTGACGCAGCAGCTACAGGCTTACAGAAGCTCTTTACGCCTTTTTGCATGGGGGCCCCGTTTTAGGGTCGGTCGCACGCCATCGCACGCCCAACAATGCATAGACAAGCCAGGATTCAGGATCCGCACATCGAACGACACTAGACTCAGAATTCCGATGTTGGACAAAGGGCATGCCAAGAAATCTCTGCACTGAAAAGGTTGCACTTTGTTGCTGGTCCATGGCAAAATACGGAAACATACACTGCGCGCGTTTGTTGGCAATGTAACCACGAAGTTGGTCACGGCGATTCACGGCGCCGGCACGGTTTATGCACATGAGTGCATGAGTGAAACTCTGGTCGAGCACGTATGTTGTCCGAAGACGTCGGCTGATGTCGAATGTGCTGGCTACTAGCTCTACTCTAGTTCATTCCACAAAAATTTCGTGTGTTTGCTCCAGCTGTCAAGTTGTCTTCGAAATTTTGAAGGGTGACTGATTGAATCTAGTCCTGCACGAGCACAAAAGTCATCTAAAGGTGCAATCACCAAAGAAACGCATTGTGCTACGGCAAAAGCGGAATCTGCTTTCACCAAGGCGCTGGGTGAAATGTTGACTTCTGGGGATCTGGGTGAAGCCAGAAAGCTCAAGTGACCGGGCTGACTTATGCTGCCTGTGCATTGCATTTTTGGCATGGGTCGGCTATCGAAGAAGGTAACTCGTCTTTCAGGATAGGTATTACATTGGCGAGCATCACATGGCGTGAGATTTGAGAGGACAGTGCTATGCCATTATGGGTTTGTTACGTAGGCAAAAACCTTTCTGCGAAGGTCGTGGCCAGCAGCAAGAAATCGCCACACCAATCGTTGCACAAGGCAAGACGGTTCAACAGAGTATCCGCTCCGGAGAACAACCCCTCCCCAAGGCCCAGAGATGGGTGCCTCGTGCGTCACTTCACGATTAAAGCACGCCCACAAAGCAATTGGCAGCACGGCAGCGTGCTTAAAGCAGGAAAGAGCAATTCTGGTGTGTTGGCCGTACTTGTTCGCCGAACATGTGCAGGAAGGACTGAAATCATACGAACCTTGACACTTGATGATGATTGCACGTCGCGCCTTAAGATGCGGCTATTGAACCGGAGCTTCTTGGCTTCGGTGCAGTGTACCGTGTCAGCATAGCATGTCTCCAACACGTCATGCCTCTTGGAAACGTTGCCCTTGCTGCTGCTTTGGCTGATCCGGTTGGGCCCGAACAGAGCAGGCCCCCGCCCGTTCGCAGGTTGTGCCATGATGCTTGACCCATCCCGGCTTATCTCAATCATCAAGGTGGGAGCAAAAGTGAGAAAATCGGTACACTACACACACACACACTTGACACATCGTGTCGCAGGTCTGAACAGTCAGTTCATCTAGCCGAAAGCTGTCAGGTAAAATCAGGGAAAGTCACTCTGCACTGCAAGTACAAGTGTTAAGATCACAACCAGTGTACAGCTAACAAGATGCACTGTGTCACAAGCATAGCAGGTACACATCAGGACGTCTCCTGATGCATCACCAGAGACTGCGGGCGTCTTCGTTGGCAGTGATCCCACAGACTCTGTCACTGCCCCCTGCTCAATCAAGCCAGATTTACCTACCCTTCGAAACAGGGATGGACACACACAGGCCCGACCGGGCTCATTGCATCTGTTCAATCGCTTGCACAGCACTTGCAGGACAGTGCGCACTCACCTTGCAATGTAGACAGTGTTAGCGCGCTGCTTTTTCACTGAATTTCATGAGAAAGTCTTATGCTCAAGAGACCTAGGAAAGTGGGCTACGAAACTTCAGGAAGCGCAGTCTATGCACTAAGTGCAATTCAACTTCTGCTTCTTCGGCATCAGCATCGAAGTACATGCAACACTGAGTTGCAGTTTGGTACGCAACGTTGGCCAGTGACACAATACTCACTCGCAAACGCTCCTGTACTAGGTCTACGACAGCTCTCATCCACCTTTTTGACGGGCTGCTCAACATGGTGCAAGCCACGGTATTGATTTGTGCAAAACGGATGGTGGTATGCAAAGACTGAAAGCCCATGGTCCACTCAACCGAGGAGGACAGCCGAAACTCCTGTATTCCACGTCGCAGGAAAGTGTACGCCACCATGGTGTCGGTTATGGGTTGTGCCTCTTCTGGGTCATCATTTGGATCGAGACGGGTAATGAATGTGATTCTGGTTCTGATCGGCAACACGTACATCAAGATGTTCTCGAGCACGTCAGAAGCAGCCCAATCCATGATGTTCGGGGTCTACACAATTTTCCGAGTGCTTGAAACAAAACTCTATTGCATGTCTGATGAAAGCAGCTCACAACAGCTCAGCACTTGCACGTCTCTGACATGTTACTCTGCACATTTCTTGCACTGCACTTGCACAAACCTCGCACACCCTTGCATATCACTTGCAATCCGCTTGCACATCACTTGCAATCCGCTTGCACGTCCCTTGCTCGTCACTGCTCTTGACTTGACACAGAGGTGGTCTCTTTTTATACCGTCACAACGAAATCGACTGGTTCGAGGGTTTGAGCAGTCGTAACAGGTTCTGTAAACCGAAGATGACGAAAGTTTTGTACAAGCTGGAAGGTGTGCAACCTAGGCCACCAGCCGAACTTCTCCCAGAGCTGCATCGCGACAAGGTATTTGGCAGCGTTGATGGAATCGTTGATTGACAACTGGATGTGGAGAGTAATAGTCTCGTGCCCGGTTGCCCGACTGCACACACGAACCCACATCCGAAAAATGTAGTCGCGGCTCGTACTCCAAGGCAAATTGGCTTCACGGGCCTTGCGCTTCATGTTGGGCAACCTACACAATTTCACTGGATGTCAAATGCTGCAACTCAAGCCGGTTCATGCAGAAACCTGAAGATGCACAGCACTGCACACGCGCACTCTTTAGTTTCTTTCACTTTCTTTGTGCAATCTCTCACTTTCGGTCAAGAACGTACTGCACAAGTTTCAAAGTGGACGAAAAACGCTTCCT